ACGCACACACACACATACACACTCACACACACATACACACTCATACACACACACACACACACACACACACACACACACACACACACACACTCAGACTTAGGAAATGTCTAGATTTATTAACTGTAAACTTAATCATTTATTGAATGTCAGATCAAATCAATTGTGACCGAGGAGAATAAAAACATTAATAAATAAATCACAACAAAGTAACAAAAATAATAATTCAGATGTTATTGCAAGGAACAAAATGACGACTGAAGGAATTTTGAAAATAAATCTCTTTCATACAATATTAACAGTATTACAATTTACAATAACCAACCCTGATATAGCAGATTAAGGCTTTCTTTTGCGGTTGCTTAAATTAATCATTAGTTAAAATAAATAAAGATAATGCATTTTGCTTTAAAAGAACATACTTTTAGCCCCCCAAAAATTCCAAACTGTGTCGATATTTGTTTTTTATCCCCAAAAAATCTGATTAAAATTTTAAAAAATCTTATTTGAATTTTAAAAAAATCGATTTTATGCATTTTGATTTAAATTTAAAAAATATAAAAAAGTCACCAACCTTGCATAAAATCAGGGGTGTGGCTGAAAGACAGCAGTAAGAAGGAGCCAAGGAGAAAAAGTAGAAAGGCTACAGAAAGAGTCAGGAGCCCAGAAGAGGGGGCACAAGAGGTGAGAGGGTGGGGGCTGGAAGTGGAGACGAAAGTAGACGACAAAACATTGTTAGAGAACAAGAATGGATGTGAAAGGATATTATTTTAGAGAAGAAAATTTTCCGTCACTATCCGGATTCGAACCCGGGACCTATTGGATGAGAGGCGAACACCTTAACCTCTAGACCCCGAGAACCCTCATGTATGTATCATGTATGTAGATATGTATGTAGGGAGGTAATATATATGTATGTGTTTGTGTGTGTGTATGTGTGTGTGTGTGTGTGTGTGTGTGTGTGTGTGTGTGTATGCCCGCCCTCCCATTCCCTCCTCACAACAACAACAACAACAACAACAACAATA